AAAGCACTGTGGCCATCAGTAGTCCATGATTTCGAGGGATTTGAGGAGGAAGCAGAGTTGGACCAGGAGATTGTGTCCATTGGTCAGTCATTGGGCCTTGAAGTGGAGGAGGATGATGCAGAAGAGCTTGTGATGTCTTATGAGCAGGAACTTACTCCTGAAGACTTGCAGCAACTAGATGAGATGTTAGAGGCTGACAATGGTGAGGAAGAAAAGGAAAGTGATGACCATATGTCAACTTCAGAGTTAAAAGATGTCATTTACCACTGGGAGAAGTTTAGGAAACTGGCTTCAAGGTACCCTGATGTGGAAAAATCTGAACTAACTTTGTGTCATGTTGAGGACACAATGGTCTCCTTCTTTAAACATGAGTTAATGATGAGGAGGAGAGATGCCCCACACACCAAAATTGACACTTTCTTCAGTAAAAGGCAGAGGGAACAAGATGCTAGCCCTCAGCCTTCCACTTCAAGGAGAGAGGGTGTTCATGGTGGAGAATCTGTCTGTCCAGAGGTTCCTGACATTTTCATGGAAGGTGACTCACCTTCCAAGAAGCAGTAAAATGCTTCTCCTCCACCTCCACTTCCATCTCTTCTTCCTTCTCCTCCACCCACTTCAAATTCACATCAGCCTCATCATCCAGGAGCCTCTACATACACACCTCAAAGTAAGTGTACTTTACTACCTTTTTGGTTGAATTTAGGCAATTTTCGGTGAGCTGGAACCAATTACCCAAAAACCCATTGAAACAATGGTTTCGGTTAACGAGCTTTTTGGTTAACGAGCAACCTTCTGGAACGAATTGTGCTTGTTAACCGAGGGATCACTGTATTAGAGAGAGGTACAGCCTGGGGAGCTAAGCTCACAACACGTCTCTTTGGTACGGTGTCTGGCTGTGTACTGGCGAGAACTGTGTGAACTGGCTGAACTGGCTGACCTCTCTGTGTCTGGTTGTTGGAGAGTAATCTATACGTCAACACAGACATAAAATCTACATAGGCCTACTCAAACACGGAGGGCTGAGAAGTAGATTTAAGGGTTGTAACCTGAGAATGTGTGGTCCACCCTAGGAGGGGGAACATCTGCTTTATGTAGCTGTATGCTCAATAGTCTGGGTGATAGAATGTATATAATGAATATATGTCCTTAGCCCATATTTTTTCTGTATAATATTAATTGATTGCTGCTAGAACAATACTTTATTATTATAAAAATGCTACATTTGGATTGTGTAATATTAAATATTAAACAATCCAAAAGTGATACAGCTGAAGATAAATCCACTAATCACAATCCCCATTACATACAGCCTTCCTTCCTCCAAGTATATCGAGGCAAAATTGCGAGCACGGGACCCAGGGTGGGGTCGGTGCATCTTTGGCTGACTGTACATTGAAATCCCCTAGGTAGAGGATCTCTGTGTTGGGGTGTGTGGATAGCAACGACTCGTGGCAAGAAGTGAGATAGTCAGAGTTCCAAATAGTTGGTAGTGTTGGGAGAACAGTATTGGAAGCAAAGAAAAATAGTCACAGTTGGTAGAGATATTTTGAGCCAGATGACATCATAAAGAGAAGATTCAAGATCCGTGAGTCAAGCTCTAGGTGTACGTGTGTTGCAGTAGGCGCATACACCTCCCTTAGAACGGAAAGATGTATAAAGGTTGTAGTTGGAGACTTGAAAAGGTTTGGGTGAAACTGCTTTGGTCAGTTGAAGTTCAGATAGTAGTAAGAGGTCGGGGGAAGAGGTTAATAGATGGTGCTCCACAGAAGGAAAATTGGATCTCATGCCGCAAATTATTGGAAAAATGAAGTGTGAAGAAAGCCGATCCTCCAGCAACTGAGGTGACGGCAGTTGAGGCCCCAGTAGTTTGATGATGATCAGGTTGACCCTGGGGTTCACAACCTTCCCGACCAGTGGGACCCATCCGAGAAGGCCCCGTTTTAATATTATTGTCAACTGACATAGGAGAATAGAAGAATAGAAAGAATAGAACAGATCAAGAGTGAGAAAAGTTATATATGTTATGTAGTCAATAGTAAGAGAGACAATTGAGACCCTGCAATTGTGTGTAAATGAGGCAGAAAGACAGATCAGCAACCTGGGACTTGGTCACAATTTTTGTGATGCCACATGACAGCAGGGTCTACCATTTGACAACACGTAATGCTTTCAATATCTTCTCAGGTGGTAGTACCTCCCTGTTTGGTAGCTGCCTGCTGAATCAAGCGTGGTTCCATTAAATTCTGCTGAAAGTCTCTCAGAAGTCTCAGAAATGGAGTGGTGTGGGGGAGAAAGTAAAAAGAGTGCAGCTATCAATTGGAAAAAGTTTGGAATAATAGAAAAAATTTAAAACAGACACTGAACCCCGTAGTTTAGGGTAAGCCATGAATAATGTTTCGAATGTTTCTTTGCACATATCATTTGTCTGAGGTGTGTCTGTAGGTGTGAGCGAATTAGCTGAGTTAATCTCGATATAACTAATTACCGGGTTCACTAAATCTAGCAAAAATAATGGAAAAATTCTTTCTGCTAAATCGAGAGTTCATTATATCGGATTCCGTTAATTCGAGTGTATACAGTCGACCTTCGTTAATTCGGACCCCTTTAATCCGGATTTTGGATAATTCGGACAAAATCTGAAGTTTTTTATTTATATTTATTTATTTATTTTGTTTTAGATTTGTAGGAATATTACTTTACGCAGACCTTAAGCTAAAATGCTGGTCCACCCACTGCTGGGATAAAACACCAGCGTCTTTTTGGTTAAACGTAACATCACCACTAGTGTGGGGGGGGGGGGGTGATGCAACTTTTAGCTTCAGACTGCCAGTAAACAATGGAAACGTAAAATATGTACCAATTAGTAATGAAAAGTTGTGCAGTTCCTTCAGCAAATGCTCACCAACTTACAATAGGCTAAATTACCTTACAACGTGTTTTCAGTAGTCTATGTTGAAGTTCTTAGCACAGGCTAACTTATCATATCATATACGGTATCACAGTTCTCATTGATCCACAAAAAATACCGGTAATATAAACCTTTTCGATATTTCACACTTAATATAATACCTGGTAATCTACTTCAACCTATTGTTTACAACGACGCATCACGCACCACCAGCTGTATCAGCTAGACGGTACACGTGTTTTTCGAATCGTTTTCAGTTAAAAACTGTTACATCACATGTATATTTTACCTTAACTGTGCCTGAGTGAATATATTCTCGGAAATAAATAGTAGTCTTGCTGAAACGTGATGTATTTTAATGTAAAATAGGATAAAATACATGACGAAAACAAAAGATTTTTCCTAACCTTCCGATTCTCAAGAGAAGTTACTCGTTTTTTTAATAGTTTTTTGGTTAAAATACTGTTATATTACAATGGTATTCTATTCATACTGTGCTTGATATAATGCATTCACGGAAATGTAATATTTTTGCTGAAATGACGTACGTATTACAGTGGAAAGTGGGATAAAATCGTGACGAAAACAATGACTTTCGCTCTCTTTCATTCAAAAGATGTTACCGTAATCGCTTTTCGATTGGTTTTCAGTTAAAAAACTGTTGTATTACAATAATATTCTATCCTAATTGACTTGAATAAATACTACGATACCATATTTCTGAATATTTTCATTAAAATCCATCCAAATCATTTCCCTTGTCATCGTCTGCAGCACCAAACAGCTTCTCCCAGTCCTCTACTTGAACAGGGCTAGAGGGTACGTGTTTTTCGAATCGTTTTCAGTTAAAAAACTGTTACATCACACGCATATTTTACGGAAACTGGAAAAGAATGAATATATTCTCGGAAATAAATAGTAGTTTTGTTGAAACGTGATGTATTTCAATGTAAAAAAGGATAAAATACATGACGAAAACAAAAGACTTTACCGAAGCTTCCGATGTTCTTGAGATGTTATTCGTTTTTTTTAATAGTTTTCGGTTAAAATACTGTTATATTACAATGATATTCTATTCATACTGTGCTTGATATAATACATTCACGGAAATGTAATATTTTTGCTGAAATTACGTACGTATTACAGTGGAAAGTGGGATAAAATCGTGACGAAAACAATGACTGAAATATAATGCAATATTAACCCCCAAATCGGCTAATTCGGACAATCGGCTAAAATGGACACCCTTCCCCCCTTATTAGTCCGAATTAACGAGGGTCGACTGTACTGTAATTGACTGAGATTGGGCATGTCGAAAGAATGGATGAGACCAATTGGGCCAAGAGGTGTAAGAGTCTAGGGAGGAGAGCCAGAGGTAGGTCAAGAATGACATGGGGACAAGTTGTAAGAAATGTTATTAGAGTTAGGAATCTGACAATAGAGACTGCAAGATACCATGTTGCTGGGAGAGTTACCTTCAGGTAACCATGGCTAACCCACACAACCATGGAAAATGGCCGTAAAATGATGACTGATGAAATCCACGAAGGGCAAATGGCAGGTCCTGCTGTATTGGAAACTTGTAAATTATTGTTTTCATATTTGTATATTCTGCATGGGACTACAGCAACCAAGTGGATACAGTGCTCACCTTTTGTGTTTTGTAATGCTGGTTCATACCCATGGTATCCCTAGTTCGCTCAGCTGTGAATGAGTACTTAGGTTTACACTTAGGGAAGTGAAAGCTGGCAATTGTAAAAACAGTTGCAGTGATATAGGAAAGAAAGGTATAAGGAGATAATAAAGACAGGCAAAGCTAGATAATGCAGACAGGTACTGTACAGGATGAGAATAAATGAGGTTTCATTGTGAGTTTAACAGAAAATATAAAGGACAGTGTGAGGTGTTAGAACTCGTGCATTAGGGTAAATACTGTATTCATATTGCATCTGACTGGACATAAAAAAAAAGATTAACTTTACAGTTCAAAGGGCCATATTTCTCTGAATTCAAGACATGTTATAAATCAACATGAGCATATAATCATAAAATAACATTAAAGGTACATAATAAAGATAATTTTATTTTGCAGAATATACAGTCTGACAGAGTTGAGGGTACCTCACCAAGTTTAGCTAATGAAGAAAGTAATAACAAGAGTGAGACTGAAGTCAACTGCTCTGCTAGTAGTCAAGAAGTGGAAGCAGGATTCATTGGTGCAGATTATTGTGAGTGTATTTTTCTATGAACATTATGTCAATTAAACTGATAAGATTTTCTTTGTTACGAAAAGTCATTTTAGTAAGGAACTGGAGAAATAAGCTTAATACTAATATTGGTGTGATGTTTGGAAGATAGTGATTGATTCTTAGAGAAAACTGTACAACTCAAACATTCATAAGCAAGAGACTTTAAGGATTTTATTGGAAATGTGAAAAAAAATATTGTTTTGATTGTTCAGTTAAGGCAGGTGTTGAAAATAATTTTGAAGTAATACAGTCGCCGCAAAATAAATCTTTACATTTTTGGTGCAAATGAAATCTTTACACGGCGTGCAGCGTAAAGATTTTAACTGCGCTCCCGGGCTAAAAAAAGTGGGAGGTGCTTGTGATCATGTAACCGCCTCCCACGTACCTCCAGCCACAAGCCACCAAGGCTGCTCACTTCAGTGAGCCTCGTGCTTTGATAGAGAGAGGTGCAAATATATGTATCTCCGCCACTCGCCATTCTCCACACGTGCGCCAACTTTGAGCGCCTATATCTCCACTCAAACTGAACAGAATGGGTTGCAACAAGCTCACACTACATGAAAAAGCTCGGGCTTTAACCCAATTAGAACTGAGGATGTCTGTGATACGTGTAGCCGCAGACTTAAAAGTTTCAAGGCAAGCCATTTACAACCTCAAACACGCGGCGGCGCCATTACCTCCTGGAGCTATACCGAAGAGGAAAGTGGGATCTGGAACTGTTAGGACGACTTCAATAAGGACAGAAAACATCCTGAAGTGTGAAGTGATGTCTGGTCCTGCTGTAACAGCTTCTACACTGAAGAAAAAGCACCCAGACCTCCTCAAACATGTGGCAATCAGGACCGTACAACATCATCTCCAGAAAGACCTCGGTTTACCGACTCGGCGCGCAGCTAAGAAGCCTCTTCTCACTGAGGTTATGAAGAAGAAGAGGATTAATTTCTGCAAGAAATACCAGCACTGGACATCAGACGACTGGAAGAAGGTGATGTTTAGTGATGAAAGCATCTTTAGGCTGGTGAGGGGTGCCTCGAAGATCGTACGTCGGCCCAAGAATGTGTCGCGGTCCTCTCTAAAGTACACCGTCAAGACAGTGAAGCATCCAGATAGTGTGATGGTGTGGGGTACTTTTAGTGGTTGTGAGGGCAGGGGAGGTCTGTACTTCCATCCCAAGAATGTCACGATGAAGGGAACTAATTATATCGAGGTGTTAAGGGACCATATGCTACCGTTTTGGCCAATCCATCATTGTCATCATTTCATGCATGATGGTGCCCCTGCCCACAAGTCAAAAATAGTCACAAAGTTCCTCAGTGACAATGAAATTGTTGTGTTAGAGTGGCCTGGTAACTCCCCCCGACTTAAACCTGATGGAAAACGCTTGGAACGTGATGAAAAACAAGATTCAAGAGGCCAGACCCAGCAACATCAAGGACCTGCAGGAGGAGCTGAAAAAGTTGTGTGTCAACATAGACGCCTCCTACTTTGCCAACCTCGCCCAATCAATGCCAAAACGACTGCAGATGGTATTGAAAACGAAAGGCAACATGACCAAATATTAAATGTAAGGTAAATACTGTAATAAAAGTTATGTAAGTCATGTTTTTAGTTTTTATTCTCCTCCAAATCTCAAGGTGAACACAATGTCACCATTTCTTTTGCGGCAACTGTATGTGTAATGCATTTATGGATTTACATAAGATACATCAAATGCAGTATGAATACCAAGATCTTTTAGAAATTGCAGAATAATAACAGCATGCAAAAAAAGTTGTTTGTTTCTGGTCTGAGTGTTTAGATGAAATTTGTCAAGTACAGCCTGTAATATGAATGGGCTGAATTGTTTGGATGCTAGAGGTGAGGTACTGTGTATAGTACTCTTCATGAGAAATGACTACAATATGGAAATGTGGTTATTAAAATTGATTAAATGGAGGTTATTTGGCAAAAATATTACAATCAACTACTGAATGCAGTGCATGATTGGCTACCAAAGAGAACTGCATGAAAGCAAATTAAAATTGTAGCAACCTGACATAGTTGGATTCAGATTTGGAAGTTTGAATGTTGATACTATGGCAGCATTATATGGGGAAGATCAGCTAAGGTTGTCAAGGCATTGAGCCATGGAAAGGTGGATACTGGATACTTGTTGTGTACAGTCAACCCTCACTTTACGCGGTCCCACATTCCGCGTTTCCACGTTTACGCGGTGCCCTGCCAGAACCCAGGATGCTCACATTCCGCGGTGGGTGTACCCCTTTACACGTGTGAAGTATAATTTTTTTAATTTAGCTCATAAAATTCATACAAATTATCCGGCCAGAATATAATTTACATTGCTGGAATTCTTACAATTTGATGATCATTTTGAATATAAACATCATAGATTTTGCATTAGACATACAAATTTTAGATATAATGTTTACTCTTGAGTAAATATGTTATCTTTTGTGCAAAATATATGATATTTATATTCAAAATATTCCTGGTCTTACAAGGAATCCAGCAATGTCAATTATATTATCCTAACTTTAGTCTGATTTATTATTTATTACTAAAAAGGTAAACAGTCTGGTATTCCCACACATTTATCTAGTAGGGACGTGGTGGTGGGGGGAGGGAGGGAGGGACCGGCGACCGACCATCTGTTACCGTGTGAAGAATTTTTTTTTTTTATTAACTGAAGATTTTTATTTTAGCTCATAAAATTCATACAAATTACCCGGCCAGAATATAATTTACATTGCTGGAATTCTTACAATTTGATGATCATTTTGAATATAAACATCATATATTTTGCATTAGACATAAAATTTTTAGATAAAATGTTCACTCTGAGTAAGTATGTTATCTTTTGTGCAAAATATATGACGTTTATATTCAAAATATTCCTGGTCTTACAAGGAATCCAGCAATGTCAATTATATTATCCTAACTTTAATCTGAGGTATTATTTAATACAAAATGTTAAAATTTATTTTTTTCACCCAACATCTCTTGAAGGGAGGATTGGTGGGGGGTGGGGGGGAGGGTTGGGACTGACCGCGCGGTTGGAAGAGGGGGGGAGGCAAGGTGGGGTACTTTGATTGACAGATAGTGTCGTGAAGAATATTTTTTTTTTTATTAACTGAAGATATTTGTTTTAGCTCATAAAATTCATACAAATTACCCGGCCAGAATATAATTTACATTGCTGGAATTCTTACAATTTGATGATCATTTTGAATATAAACATCATAGATTTTGCATTAGACATACAAATTTTAGATGTAATGTTTAATCTGAGTAAATATGTTATCTTTTGTGAAAAATATATGACATTTATATTCAAAATATTCCTGGTCTTACAAGGAATCCAGCAATGTCAATTATATTATCCTAACTTTAGTTTGAGGTATTATTTATTACTATACCTGGTTTTCCCCCAAAATTTCTCAGAGGGAAGAGCCAGCAGTGTAGTGTGAGAAGAGGGGGAGGGAGTCGTGTCCATTATTTGAATGGACATTAACTTGGCGACTGTATTTCTCTATTTCTCTTAAGTATTAATTGTGTGCATGTACCATCATAAAATTAAGATGTTATTTTTACTACAACATAGTTATGTGTCGTCAAAAAGTGGAGTTTGGGGATCGGCCTGGACTCCATTTCAATTAATCCCATATGTTATGTTATTCACTTTACGCGTTTCTCGCTTTCCGCGGTACCCTCCGGGTTACATTAACCGCGTAAAGTGAGGGTTAACTGTGTATATATATCTTGATAAAATCACACAGGAAAAGGGGAAACAACGGAGCACCTTAGATTTCGTCTTTATACAAGACATCTTCAGCGGCAACTGGATTACATGGACAGAGAGAGGCTTAAATATACAGGGTGACCTTATTAAACATGAGGTCAGGTCATAATGATGTCATCCACTAATCCCCACACCAACACACACGTAGAGGAGCTTAAGAAAAGGGGGCGACGTGACTAGTCAGGTCAGGTCAAAAATAAGGGATCCACTAAATAACTATCCTACATCTAGATCAAAGGTTTTCAAAGCATTTTTAACCTTGGGCCACTGACAAATATTTTTATGTAACATATCAGTTTTGAACTGACCATCACTAATGTTTATTGATTTTAATTCTTAAATCAAACTAGCTTCAACCAGAAGTCTTTCTGTGACACAAGATGATTTGAATACTTCTAAGCTTTTTTCCCAAGCAATGGGATGATTATTATTCCTAACATGAACGAACAGGGCACTGCTTTCAGATGCTGTTCTGATATTGTACTTATATTGTCTAATTCTGAGCGGCAGTGTTTTTCCTGTTTGTCCTACATAATTACAATTACATTTGCTACATGGAATACAATATATATATATATATATATATATATATATATATATATATATATATATATATATATATATATATATATATATATATATATATATATATATATATATATATATATATATATATATATACAGTTGTACCCCACTTAACGCGGTCAATTGAACCCAGAGGGTCCCGCGTTAAGTGAACAACAGAACATATGGGATTAATTCCATTAGAAACCGGCCCGACCCCCAAACTCCACTTTTTGAAGGCACATACCTATGTTGTAGTAAAAATAACATCTTAATTTTATGATGGTACATGCACACAATTAATAGTTAAGAGAAATAGAGAAATACAGTCGCCAAGTTAATATCTATTCAAATAATGGACTCAACTCCCTCCCCCTCTCACACTACACTGCTGGCTCTTCCCTCTCAGAGAAATTTTTGGGGGAAAACCACTAAATTTTAATAAATAATACCTCAAACTAAAGTTAGGATAATACAATTGACCTTGCTGGATTCCTTGTAAGACCAGGAATATTTTGAACATAAATGTCATATATTTTGCACAAAAGATAACATAGTTACCTAGAGAAAATTTTTTCTAATATTTGTATGTTTAATGCAAAATATATGATGTTTA